GAGACAGACAGACAGACAGACAGACAGACAGACAGACAGACAGAAACAGAGACAGAAGTGTGGGGAGAGGAGGGGAACAGACAAGAGCTCACAGACACTAACCCGATCGTAATGTTAGCGAAAGCACTCGTTGTTGCCAACCCTTTGAATTTTAAAACTTCATATCCAAACAAAAACCACTCTTTCATAAAACCAAACATAGATTCCTTTTAAAAACAGACCTCCACAGCACAAATATTTATCAAATTTCAAAACGACTTTCTTTCATTCTAAATACGGCTCAGCGACTCCATTTAATAATCTGTTTTTCATTGACTGGGAAACTCCTACCTTAACCTTCAATACAGAATGTGTCTCAGAGTCTCAGAGATCAATAACAAGTTCATTACCCGTCACTACACCCCAGCGGCAGTGAAAGGCCTGCATGGAACAGCTTAATCCTACACAAACCCTCGACAGGGCTGACTAATCCCTGAACAATATCTATCATAAATATGATTATTGTCGGCCAGCTGGTAAAATGTACTAACCCTAAAATGTTGAAATGCTTCTGTATGTTGTTCTTTCTCTTCCTTAATCTGTGGTATTGGTTGCGTTTGCTAAAGAAATAGTTTGTAGAAAATCTAAGTGTTAAAAAAAAGGCAACAAATGTACTACTTATGTAGAATCTAGGTAAAAACTGTTTAAAAGAATGTAAGTTTTTTTTTAAAAAATGCTCTCTTCTCTAAAATGTTGCTTTCTGGGCTCACTACCTTTTTAGCTTAGTTTAGTACGGGGTTTTACGACACATTTTTACAGCTTGCAGACCTTATAATATCATGAGCACGTAATGACATTTATGAAGGGAAATCTTCCTTGTAGTTTCGTTTTAGTAATACTTTTACGGACTTCCAACCTCAATTATGTCATATAAGTGCTGAAAATTAGAGGGGTTACAAAAGAGTAACAAACATAAAAAAAGGAGGAGAGATAAGGATGATATATATGTTTAAAGAAGGATGAGAGATATGAACGACATATGTTTAATAGGAAAGAAAGAGGAGCGAAAAAGGACGATAGATGTTTGATAGAAAAAAAAGAAGAGAGACCAGGACGGTACATGCTTGATAGGAAAGAAGGATGCTTGATAGGAAAGAAGGAGGCGAGATAAGGACGATAAATATTTGATAGGAAAAAAGGAGGAGAAATCAGGACGATATATGTTTGACCGGAAAGGAGGAGCAAACCACACCAGTGTACCCGCCAACCACCCACAGCAAAAACCTCCGAAAGTAGGCGGAAGGGCGGAAATCCTTGAACGTCCACTGTTATTGTAGTTGTTAATC